CTTAAAGTAAAGCAAAATATGGCGATGGGCGTACACAGAGTAAACAGACATGGCGGAAAAGAGTTTTAAATGGAAGTCAAAATTCTCGCACAGGAGTCTAAAACTTCTTCCCCTAGAACACTTGGAGCGTTCTGAAAATGAAAGAAAAGAACTGCAAGCAGGACTGCAGTCGTTAGTCATGCCGTCGATCAGTGCATTGTGATCATGTATGATCTCGCTCCATCTCTCAAAACGATTTTTTGATCTCAGCAAGGCACATTTCTCACTTGTGTAACTCTCTGTGGCCGATGTCCAGTAATAAATGGAGGGCTTATAAACAACAAGAAGGCGAATGTTTAGGAGATCCTATTCACTGTGAAAGGGCGCTTGTGGCACAGTGGTCGGAGGCGCCCTGCAGCACACCCGTGGAATCTATCCCCACGCTCATGGGCCACCAAGCCTTCCATCCCTGCGGAGTTGGCAAATTGGTACCAGACCTGTCTGGGAGGGAAGCAGCACTGACTCGATGCATCGGTAGGTCACCACGAATCGTCGTAAAGGCCAGATATGTATTCAATCACCTCCAACGATAATAAACATTTATCACTAGCTTTTTTTTATTTGCTGCCTACAATTATTATTCAAGGCAGGGTATGATGTGAAATGCAACCACTATGTTGCTATGATATTTATTTACAAAACTTGGACCAGAGGTCAGATCAAACTTCGATTGCTCTTTACGGGGCTCAAATGTTACGCACAGCACTACTGAGGCTCTTGTTCCTCCTTTCTATCAGCCAGTCTACTAACTTTAACGGTGCCATCAGCAAACACCCTTTAACGGGTTTGATCTGGGGAGCACAAATCGGCATTAGACTCAGTTAAGCTGAGGCTATGGTCGAAATTACAGTGTTAAATATTTTTTATTTACTGCCCATTATTTAATACTATATTTCGGTAAGTCTCTGCTGAGGTTATGAAGGTGTTTGAGAGAATTGATTGCGTATGACTTTTCCAGTCACTGAAGATGGTGAAACAGTTGAATCGCCATCCAGTATTGTACTGAACAAATCCTTTTGTTAACGAATTCGTGCCTGCTCATCAAGAAAACAGTGAATTATTTAATCATTACCGAGGTTACCACTATTAGTAGAAAATGAGTCTTTTGTGAATGATATCTCAGTTCGTCTGGAACAGCTCCATTACACATATCGTGTATTTAAGGTATCTAAAGATGTGTAAGGGTTTCGAAATTTGCAAACAATAACGAAGTTACAAAATACTTTGTACTAAAGATAAGCAGAAAGTTTTCAAATTTTTTATTTGTGCTTACTTTAATAACTCGAAACACCAACTTTCTAAAACCCTCGGCATAGATAGTTGATATATTTATTTATGTGATCTTATAAACTGATCTTCTTTAGCTGATGCGAGGTTGGTACAGATCGTCGTTGTCGTTGTCTTTGATGTTATTGATCGATGGATGACGTTTCGGCGACTTCGCCTTCCTCAGACCCTGGAGGTATTTAATATTAGGATATTTTTATTATTCGGTGGAAAAGAAAGATTAAAGTGTTAATGAAGATCAAACTTTCAAATAGACGCCATATTGAACAGAACGGCCACTCACCGTGATGTTACGTGCGGGACTGGCCCACACGTAGTTCACGTGGAGTCGCGAGCAAGACACGCCCCGGGGTCAAAATATCATTTTGAAATAGGGCGCTAGGCCACGTGTGATAGTGAGACATTCGTCCTTCCTGTTCATCTTTGGATTTTTGAAATTTATCCAAAACGCCTCAAGAGTTTTGCGCGTTGATGTTTCTGATTCCTGCGCTAGGATCCGCACATTCACTTCAAAATCATCGCCGTTGTGCTTTTGTGCCCTATGCGCACCCAAAGGAGTGTTTAGACGGATTTTAGCTTTTCCATCTAGATGTTGTTTTATGCGGACACAAAGTGATCTACCCGTTTCCCCAATATATTCCTCGCCGCATGCGTTACATGAGATCAAGTATATTATACCTAAACTCATGCAATCCACATCTCTCCCGTTAGGACAGATCATACAGTTTTCTGAGCTGCACAAACGACAAAAGAGACTGCTTTGAACTAACTAACGGCGTTGGGTGTTGGGTGGGATGTCAATAATCGTTGCATAATTTTCAAGACCACCTTTTCTTAAGCACTTTTTAATGGCGTGACCTACTTCATTTGATATGGAGATTAGCTTAAAGGGGATCTTACTTACGTCCGAAATATTATTTTGATAAACTACCCAACGTTTTCCTCTAATCCGAGTGGCTTCTACTTTTTAGCCATTGGAAATGGCAATTTTTCGTGCCAGGTTTTGCGATTCCTTCCTTTCCTCTTCTCCTGTACACACATTCTTAGCCGTACGATACATATTTTTGATAAGTGCTTTTTTCATGTGTGAAGGATGAGAGGAGAGGCAGTGGACTAGAATGTTTTTACTACTTGGCTTGAGATACCATTTTGTTAAATAGCCACATACTGAGAGCTTTATTTGGATGTTTAAGAATGGAAGCCAGTTCTCGGTAGGTTTTTCTCGTGTAAATTTTATATACTCTGACTGTCGGTTTAATAATTCAAAGCACTCATCCATCTGTTCTTGTGTGGAACAGATGATGAAGCAGTCGTCTATGTATCGACAGTAGACTAAGGGTCGGTGATCGAGAACTGGAGCTTCCACCTTAGACATGAAAGCGTTGGCAAGGCTTGGTGCTAAACGCTGCTCCATCGCCAACCCTCTAATTTGTGCAAAATATTTCCAGACCACCTAACCTTTTTCGAGCAATATGTCAGTATTAAATGTAAAGAAACTATGTATTCTAGTTTGTAAGATTAATACTCTTGCGGAAGGCAACAATTTGTAACGTGCAAAAAAGATCGCAAAAACAGGGCTCAATAATTGTTTCTAACGGCAAATTTTGTCGTAGATTGTTGTATCACGTTGATTATGCATTATTCACAAAACCGAAACCCTCAAAGAGTATCGTCGACAAATTATCGTCTTATTATATTATACCGAAAACTTGCCAATGGTTCACCGCCTCATCGTGGCTGGAAGGTGTTCCTGGGTGTCGGACAGCGATGTACAGTGGAGGATTCATCCTCTGCCAGAGTCTCCCAAGCTGACGAAGAGTACGGCGTTTCCATCAAAAAGCACAGCTAACAGTAAACGAATGCCAGGATTCACCATTGTCGTGGTATTAAATAGTTGCTTGGTGGCAAATCTCTCACTGATCCACAGGGCCTGCCTGTGGTGGTGACGACCTGGGACAGACTTTAGCCAGACTGGCCTCGGTATTGCAGGGAACCACAATGGGTAAACCAGCAAAGCTACAAAAAAAAATGGAGATTGCGCTGAAACCTGCACAACCAGTGAGACTGTCTATTCAAGTAACAAGTAAGTATAACGGGAAAATAACCCTAAGTGTCGAACTTCAGTGGTCATGTATAGCGCAACACAAATCTCACCACTCTTTTCACAGCCAACAATCAATTCGGTACGTACTGTCTTCAACACTAGTGAGCACTGGCGACAGAGTGAACTCTTCCAAAATTATTTATTCATTAAAAGTTAGAGATTAGTTTCTAAGGAGATACGCCTTGCGTGTCATTTCTATTGGCTTGGTCAAGCTATCTATTAGCATACAAAAACTGCGGTAAACGAAATTTCTACGTCGAAATAAAGCAGTGGAAATGAAGTGTATGTTGCATAGGTTCTGTTTGTTTCGTTCACTATACCTCCCAACGCATGGACTTGGTCTTGGAGAATTATGTGGAAATTCAACGAGCCCATTAAAATTTACAATGTCTGTACAGTGCCATAAATACAGATTGAAACGTGACTGTTCCCACTGAAAACGAAATTTACGTGGAACTTTTCTGCGTAGTTAAAACACAGGATTGGAAAGCAACGTGAACATGCCAAAGGTGAGACCGTTGGCTACGTGACCAATGCGTTAAAACTATTCAATAAAGAATCAACCGATTAAAAGTAGGTATAAGACTATTAAAACTAGTTGAGAGAATGGCCAAACGAAGGACGCGTATGGTGTTGTGGCGAATGGATAATCCCTCGAGAAAGGGTACTAGCGCGTTAGTACTCACCGCAGACGCCTGTGGTCTGGAGCTCTGCAAATATCTCAGCATCGTTGTGATTGCAAATTAACGCTCCAATTTTTCTATGGTTTCAAGCATGTTTAAAGAATTTCACAGGCATTGCAGGATTGACAATTATAACATCACCTTCGATTACGGAGCAATTATGCACTACGAAGCAACAACGTTGGAAAATTCTTAATGTTTCAGTTGGAAACAACTTCAGAACGCTGATGATTTCAATTGAAGTGTCTCAGCCAACGGCCAACCTTACATGGTACCTCACGATGTAAAGTTTATTATATCCACCATCAGCATCATGTATAAAAGGGAATCACTGAGTAAGGATGCCTCATTCGAGGAGATGGCTCACTGATGAAGAGCTGACTCGACACGAAGGCCAGGCTGCCACGTCGAGACGAATAACAAGCGAGGACCATCGACTCGGATCAACGGCTCTGAGGAAGACGAAGACGTCGAAACGTTAGCCGAAAATAAACATCATTATCAACCTCGTGTAAGCTCATCAAAGAAAGAATACATATTGATTAGTGATACCGTGGTTCAAGGAAAGTCGGTTTCGAAATCTTAGCATACTTGTTAAATCGGTGCCCACACCAATCCAGTCAATGGAATAAAACTGAACAAAAACGAATTGTTTTTCAGCAAGTATGTCCAAATATTTTGCATAAATTTCTAAATATATCAAATAGACATTGGCATAGTTGCTTTGTTTGGCGCCGGTTAGAAATAAAAGTATTTTGTTGACTACGCAAATGCCAAACCGTAAACTCTGTATAAAAGTAAGGCGAACCAAAGCAGGGTATTCACTGCCGTTGCCCTCTTTTCCACCAGCAGAACTCTTGTTAAATCCTTCCGTTTCGCTTTTCAGAATGAGGGTGCTATTACTCTCGTTTCTTGCAGTCATCGTGAGCAGTGAAGAAAGTTTTGAAGAAAAACTAAAAGAAGGGCATCAGTTACTCAAAAACGTGCGTAAGACGATTTGAAGAGTTGAAGCGCCGGAATACTGTCACCGGCTATCGTCCTTCACTTGAAATATCCACTTTCGTAGGATCCGAATGCGGATGATACGATGGAATTTCTCCAGAAACTGCACACTATGGAAAAAGAAATTAAAGAGGAATACTCTAAAGAACCGACCACTGAAGAATTGAAAGCAATGGAGGTTAGCACGTGTTCTCATGCACGGATTTCGGCGATATAGTGAATTCGATTCTTCAGGATTATGCAAAAATCAAAAAGTCCGACATGGGTGTTTCAATCGCAGGAGTCAATAGGGACAGCAAAGTTGGCAATGCGCTGTTCCAAGGAGACATGATTCTGACGAAGTTTTTTCATTTTTCGACAATCGCTTGTTGTCAATTATTTTGCATTTTCATGATCTGCTCTGATTTTCAGAAAGCAAGCCGATGAGATATTGGAAGACATCAAGGAAAGCAAGGGCAATCGCGACAAACGGCAAGCTTACCGTGACGAAAAATATCCTGGAACTCTGTGGTCTCAAGGAATAAATTACGTGTTTTGGAACGCAAGTTTGTCTTCTATTCTACTTTTTACATAGTAATCACATAAAAGTCAGAACATATTCCCAGCAAAAAAGTTCAGCTAACTCGGCCAGACGAGTGTTCAAGAAAGCTGCCGTGATATGGAGTGAGAATACCTGCCTTGAATTCAAGGAGGACAATTCAGGTGAGCCAAAGCTGAGACTGAAGACATCTGGTTTTTCCAAGGCTTGATAAGCGATTAATGACGAAATTTCTAGCTACGGATAAAGTATACGTTGTCCACGGTGCAGGATGTTGGTCACATGTCGGAAGAATTGGAGGATCTCAGATCCTCTCACTTGGCGACCGTTGTGACTACGTATGTACTAGGGATTTCCTGACATTTACATTGAAATAATCTTTATATGGCTGTGCAAGGAAAAGAGAAGGAGATAGGCAGGTGATCGACTGATATGACATCACTTTCAATAAAATCTGCACTTTTTAGACAAGTGCACCGAAGGGTCTTCGGCAAAGTGCGAAAACGGCGGGTTCCCTCATCCAAGAGACTGCTCGAAATGTATTTGTCCCAGCGGATATGGCGGAAGACTCTGCAATGAAAGAGTGAGGGAATTAATGGTTAACATGGTTCTATAAACTAGAGACTGGACTAGTGCATCTCTTTTTCAGCCACCTGGATGTGGTAAGAAATTGACAGCAACAAACGAGTACCAAGAATTGTGGGACGTCGTGGGACAGAAGAATTATGACCGTTATGCTGCTAACGATGAATTTTACTTTTGCAACTACTGGATCGAGGTTTGTGAGCCTGCCTTGATTTTGCTTAACAGCAGTCAATAGATCACTGTTTAAGGGACCGCCTGGTTCAACGATTGAAGTGATCTTTCAAAACTACACCGAAAACTTGGCTTACGACGGATGTGTGTGGGCAGGTGTTGAGATTAAAACATTAGCAGATCAGCGTCAAACTGGCTATAGGTAAACGTATACTGCTAACGAATTCGGAGTTTTATAGGCTCCAACACATCATAGGTGTTTAGATTCTGCTCTCCGGATTACGGTGGAACTTCTCTGACCTCTACCCGTAACATGGTTCCTGTAATTACTTTCAGCAGACTCTACGAAGTTAAATCGCTCCTGCGCTATCGCATCGGTAATGCTCCTACCTGGAGCTTCTAAAACGTTTCTGAAATCGCTTTACATAATCTGAAACCTTGCAGCTTCTTCTGGTCCAGCCACTTCTGAGCCAACATCTGAAGAGACAGGTCAGCCAACACCTCAGCCGACTCGTCAACCATCGTCAGAGAGAACACCCGGTCCAACCAGTGAGCCCAAGAAGCGTTGCTGTGAACGTAAACTGTACGTGCTTCTAAGCATACACTAGTACTCTTTCATAATAGTGACTTCTTTTAGGTGTCAAATATTAGTCAAGTTGGGTCTTTGCGATTCCTCTACGTACACCGCGGAACTCAAGGAAGAGACCTGCCCGGGTTCGTGCACATAATGGTTAATTTCTTGCAAGTAAATTTATTCTAACACGTGCATTTACACGCTCAGTGACGTACAACCATTGATTTGTGCATGCATATGGATGCATAACGATTAAAACTGAATATGCTTAAATTATTGGACTTAAACGAAGTTGATGAAAGAATTTCATTCGGTTAACGTTTCGACGTCTTGATCCTCCTAAAAAGTAAAAACTGCATGTAAAACCTGTGACATCATTAAGCACCGTGATATCCGTAAGGTGCAAATTGTTTATGCGATTAAATGACAGATACGTCTTATTGTTTCTCTTAACGTCCTAGAGAGAACAACGATGTATTCGATCTTTCTCGTGCACCTATTGTTTCCTCTTTTCATTAAGTGATCGGCAGCTCTGTATTTCGCTGTCAGTGTTTAGCTTTCTAGGTATTTGAAGAGGGAATACGTTTCAAAGAATTGGAATACGAGCATTGCAACTACATATTGAATATGCAGTTTATGTTTCGGCAGACATCGTTTAAGCATTCAGTGGGTGGTCGCAGAGTTTTCGACAAAGTTGTGAGATATCAACGCACTTCTTTGCGGCATAACAAAGGGCTGGGAGGGCCATTGAATTGAAAAGGTGAGGACGGAGATTTTCCTAAGAATCACTGTCAGTTTGTATTTTTTCTGTTTTAGTCAAGATCGAGTAACTTTTCTATCTACCGTAGCGAACTCAGCTCCAGAGCTGAACGGGAGGAAATGAGTGGCGTGAGGAGCTTTCAAGAGCACCGAGGATGAAGTGAACAAAACAAAGAACACCCAACTCCGTGCCTAACTCTTCAATTCCACGATTGTTCCTGCCTTAGCATATGCATCAAAACCTGGTAGCTACCTAAGAAGGATGAGAGCTCACTCAGTGTCATTGGAGGAGCAGTCGAAAGGACGATGCTAGGAGCATCCTCTGACACACAAGTAAGGGAAGGGATCCGAAGCTTCGGCAAAGATAAGGTGACCCGGATTTACAATGCTTATGAACGATAACCGATGGACAAAAACCGTTAGTGACCGGATTCTCCGGGATATGAAGTGTACTGTGGGAAGACCACCGGCCTGATGACCAGAGTTCTTCAAAAAAACCCTAGAAATGCTCTAAGAGTTTCTGGAGCAGGCGAAACCCACTGGGCGTCTCTTGCACTTGCACATAGGAAAATAGATGATTTAGTGGCGTCCGCTTGAGTAATTCGACGATCAACGAGACTACGGGTGATGCATATGATTTACCGTAATGCTTTATTGAACAATTTCAGCGAGAACATCCATTACAATTCATTTTATTAAAGAGACGATGAGAACTCGATGAACAAATTCGGAGTCTGCTGCCCTAGACACGGTTCTGATACTGTCTATGCAGCAGAACCGCTATCGGAATTCTGATTCCTAAAATGTTTGCACCTCATCCAAGGTTTTTAATGTGGGTAGTAGAATAACACTCGCAAACACATGGTGTAAGAAACTCAGCATATATATCAGAAAATGAATGCAAACGTTCTTTTAGTAATCTCTCATAGATATGTTGGCCGTGCGGGGGATCCTTCCTTCCCCTGGGATCTTATGTCTTTCGGAGTAAGATGACATTTAGCCTAAACTTATAATATGAGAGCGAAAGTGGACTGCAAGCTGCTATACTGTCATCACTTTGGTTATGATATCGTTCTTATGACAACAAGCAAAAGTCAAACGAAATAAATGCTAGCCGATCCAGACCGATCCAGAAAGCTCTTGTGAAAAATTGCTCTTTGATTCTGTCTGTGAAGAACGACGTTCATATGGAATGGATTGCGCCACCATTTGATCGTGAAATCAAGAGAATATTAGTGGAATAAAGCTGCTGACGAATACCTATATTGAATATAATGATAGAACTCAAAGTTCAGACTTTAAGTTCAGGTTTCTTGAAGGTCGGACTTTGTCACAGTGGACAATTTGCCACGTCCGTGCGTAACACGTGAGCCCCTGGCCTGGTCTCGAAGTTTTACAAATATATCAGCATCATTGTGGTGGTATTTCACATAATACCCTGCCATGAAAAAATGATGAACAATAGACAAAAGTTATACAATCTTAACTCTTTTATTTACTGCCTTTTTCTTCTTAATGGCAGATTATGTTTCGAATTATAACTCGTATGAAATGCTGAGATATTTGCAAAACTCCGGACCGCAGGTGTATGCGGTGGGGAACGAACGCGCTGTTGCCCTTTCCGGGAAGTAGCGCGTTCACCACCACACCACGCGGGTCCTTCGTTTCGCCTGTCTTTCAGCTACTTCTATATTTAGTTAAGATTTAGTGAGTATTAGTAAATGTTTAGCAAGAGCACGTACAATTCACGATCCTTGCAATCGTTCTTAGGCGGGCCCGTTGGGCGAGGTGTCTTCTGTGACGATGGTTTAGGAGTTGGTTGAGGTGTTGCAGGGCCAGAGCAAGCTACGGTGTTTCAAACTATATTCACTTTTTTTATGGTAGGATATTATGTGAAATACAACCACAATGATGCTGCGGTTTGAGGGAAACTCGGAGCCTCCGGTGAGCCTTGAATCCGCGATTGCCCGGGAGGTCGCGAGATATCCACCGCACCGCTGAGTGCATTGCTTTGCCTTTCCCTTGGCCAGTTTTTTACCTTAACGGTGCAATTAGCAACCACCCGTCAACGAAAATAATCTGGATAGTACAAATAAGCATTGTACTAAGTTAAGCTGAAAGCTGCATTGTGGCTACATTCATTCATTTCAGTACAATTTCAAAAGCTCGACGTATAATATAAACAGTACCAGTTCGATAGCGCAAAATGGTGTTAGCCTCGTAAACTCTGCTGCAAGGAATTATAGGAACGATGTTGTGCGTATACACTAAGGTTGTTTCGGAGTATTTAGGAGAGCAGAATTGAACACTTTTTAATAGTTGATTTAGTAGCTTCAATAGGAAAGCCACAACACTACGGTGGCGCGTGCTTATCTCTAACCAGTGTAACATTTATCAGGCTATGTTTTAATTTCAACACCAGCGTAGACGCATCCGTCAAGAGCCAAATTTTTGGTGTAATTATCAAAGACCACTTCAATCGTCGAACCAGCAGGTACCTTGAACCATAGGCTGACAGGACGTCATCGTTAATTCAACAAATTTACAAACCTCCACTCAACAATGGCACGTGTAAAAGTCATTGTTTTTATCGGGATGATAATCCCACCAGCCAACGGTGTAGTTGAGGGTTTGGTACCATTCTGTTACTTTTGATGTTTCGCCGCACCCATATGGCTGAAAAGAAGAGCGTTGATTTATTGTCTACTTGAGAAAGAAGCATAAAGTAGTTCCCATTATACACTCTTTCATTACAAAGTTTACCGCCAAATCCGCTTGGACAAATGCATCCTGAGCAGTCTCTTGTGTGAGGGAACCCGT